GGATCTACAACGCTTTAAAGTTGTATATTAACCACTTACGGTTTTAATTTCAATCTTACGTTTGTATGGATCTTTATTACTCTTTCACCTAAAAAATACTGAATGGATTTTAATGAAACTTAACAGTAATATAGCTCATATATAATAATTACATATATATAATAATTTATGTAGTTATTGAGTGAATTGGCCAATATATAGCAATAAGTGTCACATAAGACGGAAAAAATGTCCCATCTGCGAGCCATTTTGGCCTGCACTGCAAAAACAATAAAAGTTACATGAATGTAACGTAGAGTGAAAATGTATCTCTTAAATAGTTCTAAAAAAAAGTCCGTGACACCATATATCTATTTTTAATGTGTAAGTCATTACCGCTAAAATAGTGAATCAAAACTAAAATATTATTTGATATCTATTTCCAAAATGCACATTTTGTATTAACAAATCATTTTTTATCAAAACAAATACTTTAATCGCTTTTGATATTTAAAGACGATAAACTTTGCTTTTTACACTATGTCATTTCGACAAATATTTAAAAAGTTACAACGATGACAAAGTGATAGCGCGGTGTACTATGTAAAAGAAAAAAAATGGGGTATTCGCAGTATCTGATGCTATACGAAGTACTAACATTAAAACTGTGATACAGTTCCTTCTTATTAAATGATGAAAAATATATTATCATAATAGGTATTTATGATTATTGAATTTTAATGAAAAACTCAGAATTTTACTGTTTTTCATTTTTTTAACGATATTACTTAAGGTTACAAAAAAGGTTTACTTAATATAATGACAAATAACCCATTTTTCGCTAGTAAGTACATACTTAGTGGAATCCCTGTATTTATTAATCAGCTCGCGATAATATTGGTTTTGTAATAATTCTGCAAAATTCAAAGTAAATAATGTAGATTTTTATAGGTAAATCACCCCTTCCATCACCCTACGCCTATAAGTATTGCGATGTTGTAGCTAAGAACCAAGTTCCCATCTACTTCTATACGGGAATTCATTATATTCGATTTAGCTATTAGGACACGGAAGCGCAACAAACAAACTCACTTTCTCATCTATAATATTATATTATACTTACTAGTGATCTACCCGGGCAAGGTACGGGCGAAATTTATTTATCGGGATAAAATATAGCCTATGTCACTCAGACAAAATGTATTTAAATAAAGAAAAATGTTATAATAAATAATGTAGCTACCTTATGATGAATTAATATTTGAAACCGGTTCAGTAGTTTGACAGATTATTTGTTACAAACATACAAATCTTGCCTCTTTATAATATTAGTATAGATAGTTAGGATAAGATAAGTATTTAATTGATGAAAAAGATTTAAAAATAAAGTAAGTAATAGGTTTATTTGATTATATTTGTTAAAGTTACTTAGCATTTGTGCTTAACAGTGATACGTTATTCGGTATTTTTATAACAAAAAAAATTGGAAAATAATTGCCATGATTGCACTACTGGGAGTACTCTTCATTCGAGCTTTACACTACCAATAAAAAAGGGTCGAACACAAAGTCTTTGACCTGTTAAATGTGAACGCTTTAAAAGAAAATTACAAAGAGAACTATAAATTGATAATAAATGAGATTGCTATAATGCTCTACCTAACGTTATGAAAATTTTATTATGCGCCTTTAGTTTAATCAAATATTATAAACTTTGCTTTGGTGATTGCATAATTATTTAATTTAGTGATCTAAGGCAGTTGCCACCATTGTCCAAAACAACAGACGGGAATTACTTCTTTCTTCAACCTGCGACATAAACGTCATTGATTGGTATTGTATATAGGGTGATTAAAAACATTTGAAGTTAACTTCTGACATCTACATATTGGGTTTCTGTGAATAATGTAGGTATATCAAATTATGAGACTAGACGTCGACTTAGACATCCGGCATTGACATGACAATGCAGCCACTGCCAATTATAAATAGTCGACGAATAAAAGTAAATGAATTTTATATTTACTGCTAAACTATTAAAAAAAAACATAAACAAAAGATGACTTTTTGAGTAAGTGCTAGTTTACTATAAAATTTACATACATTAGAGATATTTATGTAACGACTTGATTTAACTTCACACATTTTTGCGAAAATTGAGGCCCATCTGTAGCCTTGACCTCGCTGGTAAAGTCTTTATATGTCTTAATAAATCAATCTTTTAGACCGACGCAAGGTACTTAATAATTCCCGCAATATTAATTCCCTTACTGAAGTAACAAGACTACGGTATATACCGTCTTAAAATACTAACTAAAAAGTGTGAAATAAAAAAGGTAAATTTAAAAAATCAAAAAACCCGACTGCTTAATTATTCTTCAAATAAAAACTGAAAAGAAAAAAACAAGTCCAGTAGTCTATAATTCTGTTAATAAGGAACAAAGCTACTTTAACAGTCGGGACCCACTGTTGAAAAATATTATGTATTCTTGAATATCTAATGGGTCCCGACTGTTAAAGTATCATTGTTCCTTATTAACAGAATTATAGACTACTGGACTTGTTTTTTTCTTTTCAGTTTTTATTTGAAGAATAATTAAGCAGTCGGGTTTTTTGATTTTTTAAATTTACCTTTTTTTATAAGGAATTTTATAGGAAAACCAAACTTCGGAATGTAATCATTTCATAATAAGCGGTTGTTCAATATAAGCGGAGTCATAATAAGCGGATTCTTCTGTATATTTTTATATCAAGGTTGTCAAATGGGTGAGTACTAACCGAACAAAATCCATATCTTATATATATAAAACTCCGCTAAGAAAGGATTTTGATCAATTCTACCCCCAAGGGGATAAAATAGGGAATGAAAGTTTGTAATGAAACTTTGTCAATTTTAAACCGATCGGGCTGAGACTTTGCATGCAGGTATAAGAAGAATCATAGTCATTGTGTATAATATAAGCCTGAGAACAAAAACTGTAGTCTACACTTCAGCTCTACACCGAAGCGAAGCGAGGGCGGGCCGCTAGTTTATATTATAAATGCGAAAGTGTATTTGTTTGTCTATTACGTCTTCCTTCACGCTTAAACCGCTGAATCGATTAAAAAGAAATTTCGTATTATCACTATACGAAATTTCTTTGAGTCCCGTCCCAAAGCAAAAGACAAAGGATATTTTTTATCCCAGAAATCATTATTTGCCACGTACCCCAAACCGCGGCTAGCGCCGGTGTCGTGTGATTGTGACAACAGTGACGACAACGATATATTGATTGTCAACTTTATGAGCACAGGCGCAGCAATGAAGTCGAAATAATCGATGTGGTATATATAGTTAATTGTTTGTTTATTTCGTCCGAAATATTAAAAGCTTCCGTTCTAATTTTTTTGTAGACAATTAGCCTTCCAACGTCTGTACCGAAGCGTCATCCGCTTACCATATTTAGTTAAAAAGACTACAGCTAAATAAGACTAACTTAAAGATGCAAGTGCAACACCCAGAAGTGAAAAGGAGTAAGTGTCGCCGCACACGGGCCTCACGCCACAGCCACAAACGCCGCCACGAGAAGTCAGAAGCGGCTAGCTACTAGGCATGCGTCCGATATATCAAAACGAATCCAAAATCCGATTTCAAACACAAATCGATACCGAACGATTTCTCAACAAGAAAATCCGATTTCAGAAATCTAACCGAACCAAAACGCTAGCGATCTAATACCATAAGTATCCAAATGTAAATCGGATTCGAAATTCGTGCTTTCGTTTTCGGAAGTCAGATTTCGTGCTCGGAAGTCCGATTTCGATTTGCTGTTTACGGAAATCTATTGCTCTTCTCTGAGGCGGGATTATTTATCACTGAAAAGATATGTCGTCTAAAAACATCAAAAGTCGAGCAACTTACATTTTTGGACGCTAACCTGAAGTAATTAGGTTTGATTTTGTAAATGGTTTGAAAAATAATAAAAACAAACAGAAAAACAAAAAAAATACTAAAAAAATATGTAAAAAGAAATCATTGTATGTAAGTCGATTTTTAAATGCGCCGCAAAAGTTTTACTCTTAACCGTAAACATAACTTTTCTGCTAGTCCTAAGCGAAAATCTACGAGTATTCTTGCTTCCTACAATTAATTGTTTGTGATTGTCGTTAGCTAATAAAGCCAAATCATAACACAAACTAGTGAATTGGCTAAGTTTGGCACATCTGAAATCGGATATCTAAAAACGGATTTTAAAATCGATTTTGAAATCTGAAATCCGATAAATATCCGTTTGCGTTCAAAACCAAAAACGCCCATGTCTACTAGCTACTAAAGTGGCGAAGCGCGCGACAGCGGCCGACTAAGGTAAGGGAGAGAGGGGTGGGGAATCGCGCGGTGACGTGTGGCGGCGTTTTGTATCGGCGCAAGTGGCCGGTGCGGGCCACAAGAAGCGAGTAACGACGATTTGTAGCGTGTGGCCATCGGCGTACCGTGTGTGGCGAGTCCATATAAAATGAAAACTACTAGAAATATGCCGGTGGCGGCGTTTTGTGGTTGTGGTCGGTGGCCCGTGTGCAGCGACACTTAGGTTCAAGCTGACATGGCGAGGATCGTTTCAGTAAAGCGTTACCCATTCTATCTTCTTGATTCATACTGTATTAGGTGTACATTTAATGCCTTTCTTTTTCTAAGAATCTAAAACATCCTCGTCTTCGTACATGTATAAGCCAGTTTTGGCGGAATTTTTTCTTCGTCGTGTTGAACGCATGTTTCATCTTTTTGTGGTACTATGGCTAAGGCTAGCCTTGTGAATGTTTGTTAATAAGTCAAAGGCTTTATTTAACGTTTAGGTAGTTTAACTGAAAAATCTTCAAATTAATAACACATAGTTTACCAATCAATACTTAAGTATTTATCAATCAGACATACTGTACTATCTTATTGACAACAGTTTACTTGACCAGTTCGCGTGCGCAAACGCATCCGCGCAACGCCAAAAGAGCTGCGATAACACAATCCATCTCTTTCGCACTCACGGTAATTAGACATCGCAAACTGGTCATCGCATCGTAAACTTGACCTTTATCTCTCGATCGTATTAAAATAATATAATATTTTTTTCCATTATTGTGAAGTGAGAATCGTGCGCGGCGGACGCGCGTTCGAGTCTCGGCAATTGTGAATTGTGATTGGACTTTTTTCGGTTTTCGTGAATAAAATAAAAAATGGTAAGATGGTGTTTTGTTCAATCGTTTCCTCGGCTGTGTACAAGTGGTCTTAATTAGTAAATTGTGCGATTGTGTGTGAGTTTAACAGTGATTTTCCGTCGCAATTATTGTATAAGGAAGATTCTAGCTTATTAAAGGCGCTTGTTTTGTACCCGTTGTGTATCTACATTTCGGTGGCTGGCGTGGCCGACCGGTTCTCAGACTTGAAGGTAGAATTGTATATTAATTCATTTATGCCGGATGTCACTGGGTGGACAAGAAAGGAATGCCAGGTATTTATGTATTCGTAGCAAGTTCGTCGTGTCAATAAAGCTTGCCATAAACATGCAATTTTTAACGACGTAAGCTTTTTCCTAGCAATATTTGGAAAACCAATCAACCTTTTTGTATATTTCAATAGATTAACGAACCTAAAACAAAAACCTTAAAAATATATAATTTAATAACTAAAGTACGAGTATATTATTAAAAGGAGTCTAGTGCTTTAGGCAAGGTTCCGAAGATACTGACAGCGTTCCCCCTTTGAATAGCTAGACTAATTCTTTGTCCGAGGTAGCTGCCAGCTCTTCGGTCTCCTGTCGTCGACTAACCTTTTTACTATTTCCATAAAAAGCCTTACAGTGCTAGGACCCCACGGACCGAAGGTCTCGACACCGAATGGGACAAAATTATATTCGGAGCCTAGACCCATGTATTTGCATGCTTTAGCTTTTTCAGCTGCTTCACAAGCCGATTAACTGTATCTGTTAATGTATAGTAAAATTTTGACAAATAAAATCACCATTATTGCGTTGCGTTGAAAGACATTACTTCTAAACGTGGTCCAATGACAGAGCTTAATTGTAATTAGGTATATGTTATTGTTTACATAATGATGATTACTTTACGAATTTACGGACCATTATTAAATCGAATGAAAACTAACTGTTAGAAAAAGTAAAAGTCTTCACGTCACATTTTTCATTTAATAGTTTGCGCAGAGTTTATAGCCGGCTTTAAAAAAGGAGGCTTTTTCCATTCCGCATTATACAGGGCGGCCCGTTTATAGGCGCGTAGGCAAAAGAAAAATTTAGAAGCCTTATGCTATGGGGTATCCTTATCACCCCCGTGTATGTTCAGCGATATTTTGTAGCTTAGGAACTCGAATAATTTTTAAAGAAAATATAACTAGAAAAAAATCGACGCGGACCAGGCAGCAGACAGGACTCGAACCCGCACCCTTCGCTATCCGGGCGAATGCACTGACCAATTATGCTACCGACGAAATTCTTCTAGCCATTCTTAAGCTGCAAGGCAGCGCCATCTCTTCTCAATGTTAGTAACACAGTGTCAAATGAATACTTTTACAAGTATTAAACATTTGAAAGAAGAAATAGCAATTATATTTATAATTTTATATTTTTTAAGCATGTAGGTATTTGCTTGATGTTTAAATCTAAAGAAAATAGAACTAGAAAAAAATCCACGCGGGTCATCCATTCCACCGGATAATACCCTTTTGTTTGTGACGTGAGATATATGTAATGATATATTATATACGTAATACAAAACACCTTTCCATCGCCCTCTCCCACCAACATTTACGTCAAGGGAATCCGATGAATTGGTACAACTGTTAAGTAAGTCACTAACAACAACATTACAGTACCTAACAAAAATATTACAATAAACTTAAGTAACTATAGTTACCTTAGCAAAGTTATCTTTTAATTTTCTTTATTATAATAATAATATAGCCTTTTATCCAGATCATTTAGTACAATGGATTCTTAAACATATGTAAAGAACTAACATTAAAATTTTAAAGTTAATAAACAATTTAAACTAATATTTGTTGCTTAGTTATCTTTCCTAGATCTGTTTGCCAGTCGTCAAAGGCCTCCTCCAACCTTTTCCATTCCTTTCTTTCTTGACCCACTCTGTTCCACGTGACTCCTGCTACGTGTCTAATGTCATCATCCCACCTTTTCTGTGGTCGGCCTCTCTTCCTTTTGCCTTCCCTTGGGTACCACCATGTCACCCTTTTGCTCCATTTGTCGTGTCCTCTTACCAGGTGACCAGCCCTTTGCCATTTGTAATTTTCATTTATAAAAATTTTCTTTATTATACCTAAGTAATATTTGTAATAATTGTTCGAATAGGCATTAAAAATATATATTCGAATAGTAGTTATAACATTTGCCACAAGATGGCGTCGTACCAATATGAATCGCGCTAAACTTTCCCGTCAGTGTTTTATATATAAGTGATTGATAACAAATTAAATTTTGTCATGTCGCCTTGGACACAGTTTTGTTTTTTATATTATCTACGTATTTTTCAAAAGGAAAAATCGCAGGAAAGCCGAAAGAGTTTTCATTTTTTATTGTGGGATCTGTATAATAATTTAAAGATTATTTTGTAATACTTACCTATATCACGGTAATAATATTACCGTGCCTAAATGTAGTAGTTAATGCCTAAACTGAAGTATCTTGTAATTGTAAATGTTTTTTTTTTGCATTTAGTAATTTCCTCTCTGAGGTGGGATAAAAAATTACGTGTTGTACTCGAATGCAAAGATTTATCACCTCGCGCTCATTTTCTTTAATATTTTTATTATCCTTCGCTATTCGGGCGAATGCACACCATTATGCTTTTTTCTAGTAAACTTTTCTTTAGATTTTAACATCTAGCAGTTAAATGCTTAAAAATAAGTAAAATCATAACTATAATTACTATTTCTTCTTTCAAATGTTTAATACTTGAAAAAGTATTCATTTGACATTGTGGGTTACCTACAATGCGAAGAGATGGCGCTGCCTTGCAGCTTAAGGCTAGGAAAATTTCGACGCGGCTAATAGGGCCGTGGTAGCATAATGGTCAGTGCATTCGCCTGGATAGCGAAGGATGCGGGTTCGAGTCCCGTCCGCTGCCTTTTTCTAGCGGATTTTTTTCTAGTAAACTTTTCTTTAGATTTAGATGTTCATTTGTTTATTTGAAAACTTTCGGCGGCCAGAAATAAATTAATGAAATAATAGCCAAAGCAGTCCCAATACAGTTGTAGGCTCCCAGGAGGCCTACTCTATTTCAATGAAAAACTAAATTTCGTTCGAAATTTCGCACGTTTTTAGTCTGTTTCCTTTTCATTTCGAAAATTCGTTCGTCCGAAAATAGTTTGACAATTAAATTCTCCAAGCCTACTCTAATTCACAAAACTTTCAAACTAAAAGTTGAATTTGACATATAATTGTTCGAAATTTTAACCTCAAATTGACGAAATGAAAAGTGTTACCTTTTCATTTTCGTTTTGGAACTTTTGTTTAAATTAAGCCTAAAATTACTGCTAGAGTATTTGCAAGGCTGCTTAGCATGAGGAACCTTATTTAGCATGCTAAATTAACAAATACACCAAATTTTAATTAATTATTGTATTTCCAATATTTCAAAGTATTAAACGATAAATTTAGGTTGACATATAATGAAGTGCATCAACTCTGCAAATTAGTCCGCTAACACTGTAAAAGAAGGTTCTTTTAATGTCATCAAAAATTTTTTAGTTAAGTAATATTGTTTCCAAGTAAACCAGGTAATCTAAAAAGTGGAGATAAAAGAACTCACAAATATGACTCATTCCATTCGTTCACGAAAATTGTCTGTGATTTCGAACTTTATGTGCGTGTTCGAAAATGAAATAGAGTAGAGTTATTGGCGAAATTTCGTTTAAAATTCGTTCTTTACCGAAATTTCGTTTCGGAAAAAGAGAGTAGAGCTCCTGGAGCTCTATTTTTGAATCACTCGTCTTGCGTCGAACGCTCGATTTCTACTAAATTTCATTCGACATAATTAATTTCGTATTTTTGAATCGCTCGAGTGCAACGAATGGGTGAAACCACTCGCTGCATGGCGAATGGTGGAGGCGAATTATAGAATAATTTTCAATTCTTTTGTGCTATTAGACGACGATAATCTATCATTATATTCGACAAAGAGTAGTAGTAATTACCGGTTTTTATTATTTCTGCGTGAAATGAGTAAAATTTCGTATTTCGTGTCAAACTGGTGACGAGTGATTCAAAAATACGGAATATCAGTATTATGCGACTTGAAAGTCGAAGGTGACTTATGTCGCATTCGACGATACTATGTCAGACGAGTGATTCTAAAATAGAACTCCTGGTCGCGTAGTCGAAGTGTCGCGGTCGCTAAGAACCAAATGCTACCTTTAAGTATAAAATAGTGAGATGTTCATTTGTTTATTTAAGGCTTGGGTTTCTTCAGTGGCTCGGCGCGGCGGCCTCCGGTCATATGTCTTCATTTTGTTACTCAGGCCTTTATGTTGCTTCTCGTATAAGAGCAATTGTCCCTGAGCGAGCGTCCTACCCACGCTGCAAATGTATTGCCGTTGTTTAGTTCTCGAGAAAATAAGTTACCTACGCGAAGTAAGCACTTGCCTATTTCATTTTTTCTCGTTTCGTTTTACTGGAATGGGAATTTAAGGGCATTGCGTATACCTACCTAGTCTTGCGATAAATATTGTTACAAGAAAAAATAGTTTCCAACACAGTTGTTCGAAAAATGCATTGACGAAGATTGTTTATTAAATTCTTCTACTCGTTTGTAAAAACCAAATTACCGCAATAATGTCATGAATATCTGTCTATTGTTTTTCTATTGCGTAAGTCATTTATTATTTTAATGTGTGTAAGAAACTTACTCATTAATATACATTCGAAACGGTATATAACGACATTGAAGGGACCATATAACTTCGGACGTTGTATCCGATAGTTGTTAAAGGCAATATTCACAAGTAGTCATATTATAGTCATTTGTATGTATGTACGAGTATAATGCGATTCTACTAAGAATAGGACCGACTGGGCGCCATATTGTGATGTCATAGCTGTCAATTCAAACCAAATTGGTAGAGTGAGCAAAAAATAGTTTTTATTTCATAAAACTTATTTACTAGATTTAGAAGATTGAGAAAAAAAACACCGACTTTTAATAATATTTAT